CGTGTGCACGCACGGTGCAGTGGTTATTCATGTTAAGTACATGACCTGTAACACTGCCTTTTCACAGTGTGCAAATTTGTGAGGGTGGTTAGGACGAATAAGAAATGCACGTTGGTTGGTCTTCTATCAGGTTTACTGTCTGGCCATTCACGAAACCTTGTCACGAACACAACCATAAGTGTGTGTGTGGGTGGGTGAATCGCCGTGGGAACCTAGCTGTTGCGGTTCACACGGAACAGTAAGTGCATTCAGAAAGCGCTCCGCTTAGATCAGCACAGTCACGCATACATTCACATGTGGTACCAACAACGCACGGACCTGTTCGAACGTGCCTGTACGCACTCCCTCAAAGCCTGATATAATTGAATGTTTGATCGGATGGTCAATCCAGTAGTGAGCAGACCGTGTCGCAGTGACAACCTGGCCATTCTCTGAGTCTGTCTGACTTCGTACCTCCATTGTCCTTCCTTCTCATTTTCGGTTTTCTCGCCATGGGCGAAAACGTGTGCGTGTTTACTGGAGAAACAGAAATCGGTCAATCAATATGACTAGTTAAGAAACTAAGGTAATTCTATAAGCAGTCGCCATCATTTTAACTCCAAGCGTATCTCATTTTGATGATCACTATGCTCACCATGTTTGACTATTTGGGAAGCGAGCTTCCTGGATCAGGTTGTGCATTATTTCTTCAAAATAAAGATCTGCTCTGTATGAATCATGCTTGATTCTTTTAAGGATTTCCTTGATATAGCTTCGTGGCGAAATGTTATTGGGAGTAAGAGTGGCGTTCAAGCGGCCTATATTTCTCTCAGTTCCGCTTCATTTGACTACGTAGGATGTCTATTTCACTGCTACCTATCAGGGGTTGTCAGTCACTATAAGTGATCGCCTGTTTAACCCTTCAAGAGTTGGCCACAATGGCGTGTCATAGAGAGAACCAACAAGAGCGATGTTACAAAAACTTGCGGTTCTAACTCCGCTTCCGTAGGTCTCGCTCTTCTTCTGGCGCATTA